AAACGTTCTTGGTTTCTTCAGTCATTTTTCACATCATTTGGGTTTCTGATCCTAAAATTCATGCAAAAATTTTTTTAAAAGTAGAGTAAGGAGGAGGGACTTACCCTAGCAGATATCGGGCTTTTTATAAAGCTATAGCAATTAGGAATTTTAGGATTATATTATCAAATTCTTAAAAAGCAACCCTATTGCCATTTTAATTAGATTTGCATTAAATTATAATTGATTTGGGAATTGATGGCAATTTTATAAAGTAGCATTTCCCATCCATGAATACTACCACTTGTCTGGGATTTTTAAAATATCCTCCACTAACAGTTGATATATTTCTCCAAAAGGATTCAGTATATCTTGTGGATTTGTTGCTGGGTATCTTTTAAGTTTCTTTTTCTATTGTAAACAGAACTTTTTTCAATAAAAAGATTTAGTTTATTTCTTTCTAGAAAGAGGGGAAGGGAGGGAGAAAGAGAGGGAGAAAAATATCAATGTGTTGCCTCTCACGTGCTGCCAACCAGGGACCTGGCCTGCAACCCAGGAATGTGCCTGACTGGGAATTGAACCGGTGACCCATTGGTTCACAGGCTGGCGCTCAATCCACTGAGCCACACCAGCCAGGGAGTAAACAGAACTTTTAAAAATTCTATTTTCCACTTATTGTTCCTGGTGCATAATATTGCTACTGACTTTTGTACATGGATTTCATACCCAGCAATCTTAGTGAATTTTCATCTTATATTGATGTTAGTAGTCCAGGATAACTTTGATCAAGCCATGAATTATTATTATTATTATACTCTGAAGTATTTGATTTGCTAATGTTTTATATAAGGTTTTCATGGCTGTGTTCCTGAGGTGGGTCTGTAAGTTTCCTTTTTGCACTGTCACCACTCAGTTTTGTTGTCAGGGTTCACGTGAGAGGCACCACTCTACTCGCTGCCTGCCCAGCAGCCACTGCCAGAGAGGCAGTCACGCCTCTCTGGAGCACAGGATGAACAATCTCGTATCTCATTGGTTGGAACTAAGTCATTTAGCCACTCCTAGCTGCAAAGCTGGCTGGGAAGGGGGTTTAACTGACATTTTCAACCCATGGATTATTTAAAAATGTTTACATTTCTCAACGATTAAAAAAAATCTTTTTGTGGTTGTTGTTACCAATTTCTTTTTGTAATGAGCCAACAGGATCTCCATGATATTGATTTTCTGGTACTTGTTGAGATTGATTTCTGGCCTAGTTTGTAGTCAAGTTTTGTACATTTTCATGTGTGTTTGAAGAGCACGTTATTTCCAGGATGTACTAGTGTCCACTAGATCAAGCTCGTCATTCTGTTGCTTGTATCTTCTCTGTGCTTGCTAGATGGTCTGTCTACTTGATCTCGAGGTTTATTAGACTGATAGTATGTTAACCCTGACCGGCGTGGCTCAGTTGGTTGGGCATTGTCCTACAAAGCGGAAGGTCACTGGCTAGATTCTCGGTCAGGGCACAGGCCCGGGTGGCAGGTGTGCTCTCCCGTCAGGGGGTGTGTGAGAGGCAACCAGTCGTTTTTTCTTACACAGTGATGTCTCGGCCACCAACTGGCAGTGACTGCGGAACACTGCAGATGGCTCGTCGACACACGAGAAAATCATACAGAGACAACCAGGTCCTGTGGGGAAATAGGGATGGAATGGCCACTCCCTCTAGTGGGGAGCGCCTTGGCCACCCTCCCCAAAGGAGAATGCCCCTAAGGGAGAGCGCCCCGTTCTCCTGCCCGAGCAGGCCTTTACTGGGTTCGTTTGCATAAGAATTCAGGTAAAAGCTCATTACTCGTTGCCAGGAAGTAAGGATCAAACAATAGGTAACAAGGAAGTCTAAGGGCCTATTTTGAGTCAGGGTCAAAGAGCTGTAAAACTTTGAGGAACAAACTTACTTCTTCCTTGGACCCTTATCATTCAACTGAGAGCATTCTAAACAAAGCAGTTTTCACAGGATCTTACATATTCTTTCTTAGGCCTGATCACCCAGGGAACCCGCCCTTTTCAGCACAGGGCTGCACCACCTTCTGTTATTGTTTCAGGCTTAGGTGGAGCAAGGGAAGTAAGGCAGCCAAGAGATTAGGAGATTTTCTTGCAGACAATGAGGAATCAGGCTATGTCAAAGCCGAGGGGTAAGGGTCCATCACCCCTTTTGCTGTAGCCCCCAAAATCCTTCCTTGGGGGCCTCCCATGTGATCGTGCCTGTCTTAAGTCGTTCCCTCCTTGGGGAACCTTACCCATCATTGGCTAACTGACCAAGCATTGGGGGCCAGCTATGGATGAAGTAGCAGAAGCAGCACTCCTGCCAGGGAGATAAGCCTGTGTCCTTGGTGGTTTATGGTTCCAAAGTCATTCCCTCAGCCTTAGCCTTGGGGGGGTGGTTACAGCTTCTGATACCAGACAGGGCGGTTCCCAACACAGTGATGTTTCTCTGTCTCTCTTTCTCCCTTCTTTCCCCTGTCTTGAACATAAATACATTTTTTAAAAACTGATATTATGTTAAAATCCTCACTGTAACATTAGGCGACTTATAATTTTGTTAGTGTTGCCATATTTTTTTTTTTGACCTAGGCTGAGGTTTCGGATTTAACTCGCACACCTTTACTGGGACCTTTACTGGGATCACGGATATATTCTATCTCATCATCAAAACGTGCTTTCTGCTTGTGCTTCTGGAGGACTTTCTCTGTTCTTCCTCTGCCTTCTGCTGGATCGATCAAGTTTTCTCTGGGAAGTTGCACACTGGTGAATTCCTTTATGGGCCAGCTTTACCTTTGGACTGTGAGCGCTCACTTTAAAGAATTTAAGTTAATCAACTTCTCCCTCCCTTTCTAAACAATATTAGCGACTTAGATTGTGTTTTACTACAATTACTACCCTTTCATCTTCTGCTATTTACTGTCTAGTATTTAAATTCCATGAATATGCTCCAATTACTCACTGTTAATATTTTTTAACATTCTGTGCTCATTCAGATTTGTGCAGATGTTCACCAACTTCTTGTTTATTATTATTTCTAGACACACCCCTCCTTCGTTGGGATCAATTTCTTTTTACTTCAAGTGCATCCTTTACTAGTTCTTTCCATATGCGTAACCTCTTTGGGTTTTATTGTCAAAAATTATTTTTAGGCTCGATTCTCAGTTCCACTTCCCTATTTTTATGGGCCCAGGACACAGATCTTGCCCCCTTACGCGCATGGCAGCCCTAGATGTCCCACAGCCTCCAGACTCCTCAGCATTAGCTCGTCTGCTGTCCATTCTGGTTCAAGTTTCCTCTTTATTTCTCACACCTAAGGATTTCCCTTCCTTTGTTTGGAACTCGACTTTATATTGTTATATTTCATCCTGTGTTTGTCAGACGAGGTGAGGGGAAGGTCCACATCAATCTTTTTAGTTCTTATTCCTGGAAATCCAGATACTCTATTTATAACAAATTTCCCTCTTACTAATGTTTATTCTCCTTTAAAATAAATATCATATATTTTGATAAAGAAAGCTGACATGACAGAGAGAAGCTGGACCCCTCTTGTTCTTGTTCTTTATAAAGTTTTCTAGAATTTTTCTTGAATTTGGTGAGTAGAGAACATTCCCCAGGCAATAACTTGGGGAAATATAATCAAATGCCAAGAAATGAAATTTTCTGTAGGTCTGTGCCTCCTGTCCTACATCTCCCTCACTTCTTTTTGCTCTGCAGAGATGACCCCTGCTCAGTGCTTGAATTACATCGTCTGCACTAACAATCCAGGGCAGCACATTGGAGACCCTTTCTCTGTAAGGAAGCGGCCCATCAACAGCTGGCTGCAGGCGGAACTGGTTCCAAGCCCTGGGAAGGTAAATGGGATCAATCTAATTTGCTTTTCATCCCAACTCAGGACTTCCCGGGCACTGCATCCCTGGGCAGATTAATAGCACGTGTTGGTTTAATCAGCCCATGGCCTTCGGTGCCGGGATGTTGGCCTGAGGGATCACCGCACACCCTAGGCACAGGGCCCAAACTCTCCACCAGGGAGGAATAGTGTGCTTCAGCCTTCCGGAGGTTGGAGGCCATGTAAGCACAGCGGACTGTGAACATCTGACTACGGTCAAGGCACGGGGAATGGGTTGGGGATGAACTGGGGGCACTGCCCAGCTATTACGTTGGACGTGCTTTCTGAATAATCACATACGGGCCAACGGGAGATGCTGTACCTGGGGGATAATGAGCATTCCTGGACATAGCGAACACCAGGCTGGTCACACACTGGTTCCCTGGAGTTGACAGTTACTTTCAATAAAATATATTCCATATGGCACGTGACTACAAATTTCTGACCCCCCAAAAAAGTGAAACAGAGAAAATAGGCTGGAGTGGAGGTGTAGACTAGGGAGAAGATCAAACAGGAACCAATAATCAATCATACCATTGGTGATAAGAAAATAGGAAGAGATTAAAAAATATATTCTGCAAAGCAGAAATGGCAGTCCTGACCGGTGCTGCTTTGTCACCCTCAGTGCTTTACCCTCCCCAAGGAGAGGAGACAGCCTCCACCTTGGGGAGGACGGCCCCACCTGAGAAAGGAAACCACCTTAGCATTGCCTGTTGTACTTGAGTCCCAGCCCCCATGGCACCTGCTACCTTCAACACTTCTCTACACCTCGCAGACAAAGCCGTCTTCTCCGTATGCTGACCCTGAAGCAAAGGAGGAGACAAACTCCTATACTCCTGAAGATCAGATTTTATCTTATCCTGTCACTCAAGGTGTGGGGAAGCTAAGAAGAAGGCTCCTCCTGATGAAATGCAGTTGAGGGCTGTTCTGCAGACCGCAGGGGATTCTGTTGTTGGAAGCAACCTAAGCTGGTGGATGCAGAAGGTGGACATAATGACTTTCCAAGTCACCTTTTTATCCTGGACACTGCCTCTACCTCAGGCCTGCTGTGGGTCCTGGTGGGAGGGGCCCCTGTGTGGTAACAGAGCCCACGGGTGGCACGCCAGCGACCACCACTTACCTGTTGAGATACACACGCTTCTCGGTGAACTGCCCATTGCCGTGGTGCGGGTCCTCGAAGGGCTCATTCTGGACAACCTCCACACCTTCCCCTCGGTCGCTCTGCTCGTGGCTGTGCTTGCTGATCATGTACAGCTGTCCGATTTTGTACTATAAAACACAGACACAGAGGTCAGCCCACCTGCTAGCCTCTGAAAACAGCCCCCCATCAACGGTGCCGCAAACAACTAATATCAGCACTCTCTGCTCAGAGAAGATAGCAGACACATGGGCCTGGTGTTACTTTTCCTCGGGAGCCAGGAGGACGGCGAGTCGTGAGCAGAATGCAGAAACGGCATGTTCCTGTGAACATTATGTATCACCTTGGCAATCACCTTGGGTCTGGCACCCCACCAGCCCCTGGTAGCAGCAGGGAGGCGGGAAGGCGGGAGTCTCCCTTCCTACTCTCGCCCTACAGGGTTAAGTGGAGATAAAGTCCTATTTTTCTCAGCAAAACGGAGGCCAAGGTGTGCTCTTTCTGTCACTTCTTTCTGCCTAATTAACTGAATTGCTGGGCACAAGAGGATTAGGTGTCACCTGTCTCTTCCATCACCTCTTACAGAACGTTCAAGCTCTCCTGGAGGCCTCTGCCCCCTAGGACAGCAGTTCTCAAAGGTGGCTGGACATTAGGATCACCTGGAAGCTTTTAAAAACTCCAGATGCTCAGGCCCCACCAGAGTGAACCCTGTGTTCTAAAGATTGATCCACAATGAGGAAAATCCATAGCATCTTTAACTATTTTTTATCCAACTCCATTAACAGTGTGGAGCCTTCCAGCCCAGGGTCCCAGAAGCACCTTGCATTTACATGAAAATGATAATATGGAATAACATAGAATGTGAACAGTTTCTGTCCTGTCTTCATTTTCAAGCCCTTCCACTCTTCTCCCCACCTCTCTAAAAGCCCTGGGGCTGGTGGGCATTTCTTCCCCCAATGAACTTCCAGGGGTGGCAGAGCTAATTTGATGAAGGGAAAGAAGGAGGGGGGAGAGTCCAGAGGCAGGAAAATGCCACCCTGCTGTGGTTCTTCCCATGGATTCGAGGTGAAACAACATACATGTCATCATTACCAAGGCCCCGGGACAGAGTGGGGGAAAGGGCCCTGCGTCTGTAGCAAGCTAGTGACCGTTCTGAGTTGCTCCCAAAAGAGCCCAGGCCAGGAAGGATGTAGGTCTCCTGTCTATATGCACACAAGAGAGAAACAGGTTTTAAATTAAATGGGCAGATGAAACATACAAGTCAATGGTGCAATCGGTTTCAAAGCCGAGAGGACACACACTTCACTCTGAGGCAGGTGCAGGGCGGGGAGTGTGAGGAGCATCTGAAAGGCCCTGGTCTGAGGCCAGCCCCAGGGACAAGGCCTGGTAACCATGACAATGAGAGCAGCAGCTAGCTGGGTCTCCTCAAAGGGCAGTGCTCCCTATCTGTGCCATGCCCCTCCCCAGGATGGTTGGCATTTTAAATGCCTTAAAAATATTGAATTTATTGGGATGAAACTGATTAATAAAATTACATAGGATTCAACTGTACAATTCTGTAATATAGAACCTGTATATTGTATTGTGTGTTCACCACCCAAAATCAAGTCTCCTGTCACCATTCATCCCCTTTACCTTTTTCTATTAAAATAGTTTTAACAGAAGTATATGTGTGCTTGGGAGGAGGAAGAACTCTGAGGACAGAAGTAGGAAGAGGAGAGAGGAAAATCAAGGACAAAATCTATTTTTAAAGCAATTTCTGGGAGCTCTGGCCAGGTAGCTAAGTTGGTTGGAGCATTCTCCTGATGCACCAAGGTTGTGGGTTCAATCCCTGATCAGGGCACATACAAGAATCAACCAATAAATGCATAAACAAGTGGAACAACAAACTGATATCTCTCTTTTTCTCTTCTCTCTCTAAAATCCAATAATTAAAAAAAAAAAATTTCTGGAATAAGAAACATGGCCTGGCTACCCCTTAATAAATCCTTACTCTTACTTTTGCTCACAAAGACTAACATTCTTTCAAGGAGGAAGACAGTAAGGAAAAGCTTACAGATTAAGATCTGCGTGATACACCCATGAGAGCAACAGTCCACCTTACGCAGATGGGCACATGAGCCTGTAATAGAACAAACACTCAGCTGCCGGGGGTGGGGAAGATTTCACCGGCAGTTACTTAGTAGTTGGTGTTCAGAAAATAAGTGCATACCTACAATGAAATATTATTTAGCCATACAAAGGAATGAAATACTAATACAGAGCTGCTTAATGGGTGTTATGGGTTGAATTGTTTCCCAAAATTCACACGTTAAAGTCCCAGTAACTCAGAATGCGACCTTATTTGAAGAGGCTCTTCACTGAAGTAATCAAGTTAGAATGAGGGCTTAGAGTAGGCACTAACTGGACAGGACTTGTGTCCTCATACAAAGAGGTAAGCTGAACACAGACACACAGAAGGAAGACAAGTGCAGAGAGAAGACAGCCACCCGCCAGGCAAGGATGCACCTGGAGCAGATCCTCCCCTCACGCCTTCGGAGGAACCAAGCCCGCCTACTGACACCTTGATCTTGTACTCCACAACATCCACAACCGTGAGACCATAAGCCTCCAGTTGTGGAAGCCACCCAGTCTTTGGTGCTTCGTTACAGCAGCCCAGCCAACTAAGACAGCAGAGAAGGGACAGGGTTTCCTTTCAGGGTGATGGAAGTGTTTTGTATCTGGATAGAGACGGTGATTGCACAACACTGTTATACGCCAGGTGCCACTGAAGTGACTTTAAAATGATTAATTTTATGTTACGTGATTTTCACCTCAAAAAAACTTTTTTTAAGTGTTGACTCTGCTTCTGAAGCAGTTACCCCTAAACCCAAATTCTGTCAAGGGATTCAGTGGGGGGCGATTTGGCAGAAGGGACATGTCTACCACTGGATGATCTTCAGGAGCTCCACCCCACTCACCTATGAAAAATATATGGCTTCAAGGACGAGGCACGGCACAGAAAGGCCGTTAGCCAGACGTGAGTCAGCCCTGCTGCCCTCGGCTCGAGTGCTTCCTGCTCGGCGGAGAAGGGAAAGGGCCGCGGCAGCCGGCGGCTGACTCACGGGCGCTCAACGGAGGGCCTGGCCGCCCGGCCTCATTGATCATTCCAGGGGCTCCTGAATGAGCTAGTGCAGGGCAGACATCAGCCTTAGCTCATTAAGATGGCGTCAGTCTGGGGGCGCCCAACGGATGCTGGATGCAGAAAGGTAGGTGACACTTCGGGGGTGGCAGGACACTCAAGCCCAGACATTGCGATGGTCAAGGGCTCTGAAGTGGTCACTTCTTTCCTTCCCCAGCACATCAGGCCCGCTTGGCTGCTTGTGGCCATCGGAGCCGGCCACCCAGAAGCAAAGGTTTTGTTGTTTTTATAAACCACAAACTGACTCACAGACACATGCATTTCTCAGTTGGGGGAGAGGGCAAGGCAAACAGTCCATGAGCCATCCGCCTCAAAGTCACCAGGCACAGACCTAAAAATGTGGAATTCTGGGCCACTCCAGCCTTTTACATGCAGCCTCTCGGGGAGAGGGGAGCTGGGAATCTCACTCAAATGCACATGGAATGCTGAGAACCACTGGGTGAGAGAGAGGTGAAGGCATTAACTAGGACTTGCTCGGTGTAAGAAGGTGCCCAGGCTGAAATGTTCCATCTTTTGGTGACCCATTTCTTCTTCGATGCTCATGTCTTGCAAAGCTCCATCCCTAGTTTAGGGGAAACAGCCTGTCCCTGATCACCAACCCCAAACTCATGTGCCAACTGAACACCACCAAATCCAAAGACTCAGGGCTCTGAAGACTCTGAAGCCAGAGAACTGATAACAGAACTGATGATGGTGGTGGTGGTGGTGACTGCAGAATATAGCTTAACTGACTGCCAGTAAGTTAGGCACTTTGCATTCTTTCAATGACTCATGCAGAGAGGTATTTTCAGAGGAAGAAGGTGAGTCTCAGAGAGGGGAGAGCCTCTCTCTATGTCACGAGGCTTCTAGGTGGCAGTGCTGGGATTTAACACCTCCACCCAACTTCAGCCCTTATTTCTCTAACAGGTGAATTGCTTCAACAAATCAAAGCCTCACTGTGATTACAGACGGGGGCGGTGGAAGGGTGGGGGGGGGGGGTTGTTCAGAGCCACTGCCTTTGAACCCTGCTGTTTCAGAAGATGAATAACAAAGGTCTGATATCATTTGAAAGATCAAAGTTGTTTAAGCTGTGCTCACACATGAAATGGCGGAGCAATTATGCTCTAACTTTGTAAAATCTATTGTTACGATTCTAGAGTCTGGCTAATCATCATTCCAGGCAAGCAGGGTTAGAGACAGCTCCACACTGCAGGGCTGGGCCTCCGAGGGAGCCACCATCAGAATAGCTACCCCAAGTAATTATCTCTGCAGTCAAAGAACATCTTGGGGATTCGGAGCCTTCCCAGTGGCACACAGCACCTCGGAACTGAGAGAAGGCAGAGTTGCATGATGTGCCTGGGCAAGCTTGCAGTTTGCCGACTCTATGGCGGGGCACAATCCACTGAATCCAGTTTAGCCTCCAGCCCTGATTTTCGGAAAAGCCAAACTCCCGAGTATGGTAAAGGATAATTAATGGAGCACCAATAACACCATGAACATAATTCTTGCCAGAACTAGTGGACCCAAAGTTTCAGGTTCCACAGAACTCCTAAGACTGATTTTCACTTAACTACTCTCCACAACTGCGAGCCTCAGAGATGTCTGCAAGCCAGCTTCCTATGTCCCCCGCCCTGGGAACCAAGGGGCAGTCATCTAGCTTCCTTCCAACCAGTTCCTGTCTCCTCCCTTCCCGTCCTCTTCCTCTTCCCCTGTTTGTCCCAATTCCATTTCCAAACTTCATGGTGTGAAAAGGTGGGGACCTCTGCTCTGCAATAAGCATCACTGATGCCGGAGGGAGTCACCTCCTGATGCTCTGACTGGGACCTGAAGGCAGGCCTCACCATCACAGCGGATGGATGTCACATAACCTAACAACCACGGAGGAACACCTACCCTCTGACTCACCATGGTATCATGTATTTTTTCACCTGTGAAATGTGCGTGACTCCTGCCTATCCTCCTCTGGCTCTGTGG